TCCTCTTACAGAACAGTTGCAGCATTCCAAAAGGTCACCCAAAGCCTTTTGAAAACACTGGAGCTTCTGGGCTCTAAAATGAGTGATGCTCATCATTTACAAACAGCATCAGAAAACTTCCACTCTGGGTCTGCTTAGTAAAAATTCAAGTGAATTGGAAACATTTCCTGATCCAAGACACCTTTGAGATTTTTCCTTCTTGTTTGTAAAATTATCAGCTTATTTGAAAAAAGGCAACAGTTCTTTGAATTAAAAATTGGTAGACTAATGCTTTTCCTATTTTCAAAGTTGTGTTTGAGGATTTTATTTTATTATAATGATACTTAGTTCCCTAAACCACTTATTTAGATATGTTAATGCTAAATTATGTTTGTGTGTATGTTTAATTATGTCTGTGTGTATGTTTGTGTGTGTGTTCTCTCTCTCTTTCTCTCTCTTGTTCTCTCTATCTCTCTCTCTCTCTGTGTGTGTGTGTGTTTGTGTGTTTGAGTGCAAATATTCATGGAGAACAGAAAAGTATCCTAGATCCTTTAGAGCTTGAATTGCAGATAGTTTTGAACACTGTGCATACTGTTGACCAAGCTCTGGTCTTCTGCAAGAGTAGTAAGTACTCTTTACCATTAAGCTATTTTACCAGCCACCTGAATTATTTACACACACACACACACACACACACATACACACACACACACACACACACACACACACACACACACACACACACTTTTTTTTACCTATACCACAAGATCTGAAGAGTAACTTCCAGTAGGTGCTTAACATGTAGTAAAATTATGTGGTTCAGTGAAAAAAACAAGTAAAAGGATGAATCAAAGTACACTGTAAAATGTAAAGTGCTTTATAAAAACACAATTATATGAGTATATCATAGGGAACACTTCTGATCTTACAATATTTTCCCATAAGACCTTCTTGGGACACAAATTTCCAAATAGTTTTCTTGAACAAGGAAAAACTGATTATCTATGTGGTAGAAATTCTTCAACCAACAGTATTAATCTTCAAATACAATTGAGTAGAAATGAAACAAAGGCAGAAGAACAATTAAATGACAAAGATAAATATTGTTGTTAACCTTTTGACCACAGCTGAGAAGTGGGAGAGGGAGAGAGGACACATAAGGACCCTACAAGAGATGGAATTCAAGATAGAATAATAGCATTGTTGAGATAGTAACAAGATGCATGAAGGTTGCTTCATGTTTTATATTATAGTATAGGATATACAGATCATCCCTACATCAGATCAGTTAAATTTTGTCATGGATTTTAACTTTAAGCTGTTTGGTTGTCTTAATTGCTTGCCAAGAAATGCAAGTAATAACAATTGTAACAAAAAGGAACAATTGAGAATTTTCAGTTCAAAACACACTTTTGACAACAGAGATAATTCTTATATCTATTTAAGTCTTGGTTTTCTTATTAGTAAAATGAACAGGTAACATGAGTTACCTTCCCACACTGTATATTATATGGACATGGATATAACTTAAAGTAACTTTATTCCTTTTATAATGTTTCAATTTGCATAATTTACATTAAAAAGCAAGTCTCCATCCTATTTATATTTTAACTTCATAGCGCCTTACATCTGCAATAGAAATAAAATAAATATGAGATAACTAATGTTTGTAGTATCATTTGTTTTTGTTTTCAAAATAGTCTCTGCTAAGATCCTGGGATTCATTTTACTGCAAAGAGTAAAGGAGAAAAGCAGAAAAACAAGAGGCCCCAAGTGACTCCACATAAGAATGAGTCCAGGCAGGTAGATGACACATAGCAATTGGGCAAATAAGAAAAAGAGTCAGGAAAGAAAAATATGAACAAAAAATATTCATGCAGTTTTGCTATGTGCTTTTACAGTTTATCAAGAATGTTTTGCCTTGATTATCTTTAGTTGAGTTTTGGAATGATGGACTATTCTTCCTTTGTGTGCAATTTGGTACTGGCCCTACAGATGTGCTTTGTAGATTACATTGATTTAAGGTTTTGAAAGTCTGTACATCTGTATATATAATCTGTTTTCAAAATAATCTTTCAAAAAAGTCAGGATAACATTTAATTTTCTTTTACAACTTGAAAATTGAGACTCATGGAGATTAAAGTGATTTTGTTTTTTCAAGAAAACACTTATGATGACACAAAACCTTGTCAATTGATATTCTCTTCATTTCTCTATGAGGTCTCTCTTATATTACAAAAATATTTAATGTGCCTAAGAGTTATCATATTTCCTTCTTTGCCTCCTTTCACTATTTCCTTCAAGAACAAGTAGTTCAGTTAAAACATAATAGTACTTTATAGTAAAATTTTCTGCAGTGATAGAAATGTGTGTAGCCCACAATGGTAGCAATAAGCCATATGTGGCTATGGGTCACTTGAAATGTGGCCAGAAGATTGAATATAAATTGTATTTAATCTAAAACTTACTAGCCGTAATTGGCCAGTAGATATAATAGTGGACAGCACCTCTCTAAGTCATACATTTGAGAGTCTTCTGAATACCCCAGAAATCTTACAAAAAAAAAAATCAGTGCTCAATTGACCTTTGTCATTAACCATTGTTTTCTCTTTGTTAGTATACCTTAAGGTCCCAACCATGCACAAAGAAGCCAATAGATGACATGTACCATATGGTTGGTTGATTAGTAATCTGATCACTGATCGTTACTCTTACAATTAAAGTAAGTTCCTCTGCAGCACCATTTGTCTAGGTTATTCTTAAGGTTATATGCATCCCATTGTTACTCTTCTCATAAGAACAGCATTGTCATTCTTTCTTCATGCTCACACAATGTTGACAGAGTTACTTATATCTGTGCATCACAATGCATAATCCATATAACATCCACAATACTAGACTCTTTTGAGAAATTTCTAGAAACCCTTCTTCTTCTGAAATAAACAGGATTCAAGAACAGAGCAGAATGCAAAAATAATTAAAGTTTTATAGAGCAGAGAGACTCTACCAATATTTTTGTGGATTCATACAAAGATGAACTCCTTATTCTCTCTCGCAGGTATCTTAGAAAATTTCCACACAACTTAGAATTCTTCTTGATTCCAATTTTTCCCCATTACTTGGTGCTTTGATATACTGCATAACTCAGAGGGTCTTGTGTATTTATGTAACAAAATTATCAATTTTTTAAGTAACAAATGGAAGATGAGCTTTAAAGGGTCTAGGGTCTAAGGATGGCATTAATACTTGTAGAATTATGTCAGGAGTGAGATGTATATGGAAAGAGATTTATGTGACTGCCAACCCATTGCTGTTGGAAGCCATGCTTATTGACAAAGCCTGTGAAAGCATCCTTATCTTATCCTGAAAGGAAAATCGTCTATGTATACTTTATATGTCTGTAGGATACCAGTTGTACCAGTTACAATGGCAAGTCATCTTGCTACTGCTTTCTTAACAAACTACACCAACAAGAATAAGATGAAATAGCTCATATGACTGGAGCGGGGCTGGTGGGGAACAGATTGTCATCACATCCTGCAGCCATGCTGCTCTTCTTCCTTTGTTTTCTGACATGTTTAGCTGAAGTTAGGAAAAAATTACCATCATCAAATACTTCAAAGTGTAAAGCAAAATACATATTAGAGAAAAGAGCCCTCACTTATGCCAGATACTGGGGATGATAATATGATACCATAGGAGGGGATGGATGTTATCCAGTGTAGACACTGTACACTGTCAGTGCAGTGCTGTTGAGAATCTTTGATTTGTGAAACTAGAATTTGCAAATGTTGAATGCTGTACCTTGTAAGGACCAGGACATTCCTTGGAACAGAATGTTGAAGTTTTACAGGTCAAATGATTGGTAGACTTCTACACTACAGTACTTGAACTCACTCATGTTTAGAGATTTGGTTTACATTAACAACTTTCCTTCTTGACTGATACACTTACTTTCTTTACTTTTGGACCTTTTTCAAAATTTGGACTGCAATCAGAATATAAATGAGAGCTTCACTCAAGGGATGCTTACAACTGCTTCTTTGAATCATGGAAGGAAGAGGTTGGTGTGAATGAAAGAGGAGAGCCAATAGTCAGCAAAATGATATATGCTGCAACTAAATGAACCACTTCTGGAAGTGACATAAAAATATTCTAATATTAAGGATTATCTTACAATGTTGTGGAAGAAATGCAGTGATACATCTTGCATTTGTTTTGTCTTGATGACAAAATACACTCTTTAGAGCCACAAGAGCCTGCCTTGTGTTAGTTATAAACAAAAATATATTTATATATACATTTATGTAACTACTATGTGCTTTAAAGAAAATTACTGCATGATTCAGCAGGGTTATTCCATTCTTTTTTTTTTTTCTTCTATCACCAGGGATATGTTGACTTGAACGGCTTCTTAGACAGGATTTGACAATGAAATACATTTGCCATACAAACATGGTGAATTTAAAAAAAATGAGTGTTCAAATTCCTTAAGATAATTGTCTCAAAAGATGATCACACAATTCTTCCTGTTATTTCTGTTTCCATTAGCTAAGAGCAAATGAGGCTTTCTGGAACTCCAGGTGGAATAGAAGGCAGTGCCTCTGAAAACAAAACTCATTTTATTCTGAGGTGAGAGAATGGGGAACCTCACTGGCTATGCCCTCCTCTCTAGGCCTTAGCTTAACATTTGGAAATTGTGTCACAGCTCACAGAAAGGGTATTCATTACCAGGGAAGAGGCAGGCATAGTGAACTTCTGAAGAGATGAAAGGTTAATCCTGCGAAGTTGAACTTGTTGGAACAATTGCATCTAGAGCAAAAAGTAAAATCCCTTTGCCGAAAGTCTGTTTGGAAAAGATAGAAAAACCTCCATTTGGGTTTGGTTTTGCTCTCATGTGAGCTATGGTTTTCAGCAATCTTGAAACATTCAGCATTGCTCTTTCCAGGGAGAGCATTCAGGCTTTGGAACACGGTTATCTTTGAGACATCAGAGAAAAACATTTGAACCAAAGGTATAGATCCCTTGTAAACTAAAGCTTTATTTATTATCATTATATTTTCTTTGATCCCTTTGCAACCCTGCACCTAAACTAAAAACATTGTCATCTTGTCACACTTCTGGCAAGTCCACAGGAGATGTTCCTTGTGAACCATGGATGTCATTCCATTAGGGAATTTTGTATTTGGTGTACATGATGTCTTGTACAAATCTGAGTTTTCTTTTCAATGTTCCTGGGCTGGGCTCATCCAGAAATCTTGTCTCCCTTCTGGCTACAGAAGTTTAGGGCTTGCTTCTTCATGTGTGGCTGTGGGTTTGTGTCTGTTTGTTTTAAAGGTATAAGCAAAGTTTAGTCTTAACACCTGTAAGCCAGTACTGGTGCTGCTCTGTCCTAAAATTTTAGCATTGCTCTGATACAATGAAACCTTCTTTCTCTCCAACTGGTTCAACTTCTGCATAGGCAGGATGTCCTGATCCTCTTCTAAACTTCATTGCTGGCCATCTGCTTGGGCGTCTCTACAATGGGAAAATACAAAAATAATGAGCATTACAGGGAGATATTGTCATCAACAAATACTTATTTACCAGGCTATGGGTGTTTCTCAGTTGGTAGAGTGCTTGCTATGTTAGAAGTCTTAGTTTCAATTCCCAATATCATATACATCAAGCATATGTGGCAGCTCTAGGGAGGTGAAAGCAGGAAGTCTGGAAGTTCAAGACCAGCCTGTGATAACATGAACTTATTTTCTACCTATCTTCGGTTATCCTCTCAATGCATCACATTAAATGATCTCTTACAACACCACTATTAGAATAACATGTCCCCCTCTGTAAGGTCCCTGAACCCTGAACTTGAGTCTCCATTCTAGCTATCGACATAAGTGGCAGTCTATTGGCCATATCTACTCCCACGTTTCTCAAAGGCAAAGTTTAACACGTTTTATAATCATTTATGTCTGAAAAGGGCCACATATAATAAGATAAACCATGATTTTAATATTTATTTACTTAGATTTAGGAATATATGTATGTGCCTACATGAGCTTCTATGCACCTCATAATGCAGGTGCCCACAAAGGATAGAAGAGTGCAGCTGATCCCCTGAAAATGGAGTTATAGATGATTGTGAGCCACCTGATGTGGGTCCGGGAATCAAACCTACTTCCCCTGAAAAACAAAACAAAACAAAACAATATGCTCTCTTAATTGATGAGCTATTTCTGCATCCCTTAGAATTCATAATAAACAAAATGAAACAAAAACTCCACTTTTGTTGAGACAATCTTACTATGTAGCTCAGGTCAGGCTAGTCTAGAACTTGTGAAATGCATACCTGTGTCTTCCGGGTGCTGAGATTAAAGGTATGCAACTCCCACATCTAACCCTGAAGTATGATTCTCTCTTCTAGAAGTCAATACCAATATCACTGTTGTTGTCATCAGTTCACTAAGAAAGTAAGGGCATAGAATTCTCTAACCATTACTGTGAGCATGGTTTCAATTAGCTATTAGATTTCCTAGCAAATGAGATAGAGGAAATATCACACAGTCTTAAGAAATTGTTTATCAAACTAAGCACATCTATTTATGACTTTCATGGTCAAACATTAAACGTGCCAAATCTTAAAATGGGATCCATCACCAAAAGTTGTAAACAAACCTAAGCCTATGAAGTTAATATTGCATGGTAGACACTAATTTTGAAACACAGACTATTTTATTGACAAGAGGAGCCTTTCTCTCCAGCACTCTGTCTATCAAATAAACCCAGTGTGATTTCTAAATAGATGTGCTGAAATGAATTATTAAGTCACAGTCACAGAAGACATTAAATGCATTTCATAGCCACAGTGACACTAGAAGTGATTACTCCATTTATCAAAGTGCTGCAATTTTGGCGTAAATAAGGCAATAAATATTGAGGGAATTTTATTTCTGTGTAAAGACTTTTAATGCAGAAAAGGTTAAATATCAGTGTACATATAGTGGCACTTGGTATCTTGCTAGATTTGCTAATGGCATGCCAACATCCATGATTAATGGCTGAGGGGGAAGTATTTCACATCAAGCAGGGATGAGTTTTAGCTTTATGTTCTGGAGAAACACCAACTGAGATAATTATATTTTGCTTATTAATAATACTATGCACCGTCACCATAACACCATGTGGCCAGGAAGGCCAATGTTTTTTAGCTGATTAAATCTCATGAGGTAAGTGACACTGAATGATCATTGCTACCCAAAAGAAAACATTAAAACTAGTGCACAGAGTAGCACAAGGCAGACCAAGATGTTGGCCATGGGCCTGGAGATCATCATCTTTGATGGACACATGCCCAGTCTTTGGAAGTGGGTACTGAAACTCATGGTTCCTACCTATTTTAGGGAGAATATGATATGCCTTAGGGCCTACTATTTATAGCTCCCATTTGGTCTCCATGACTTCAGAACTGGAGCTCTCTAAAGGCATGGTTGCCCCAGGCAAGCAGCATTGTTAATTCCTTGCTTCATATTTATTTTCTAAAAGGGCAAAAAGCACAATGGGCTCTGGGTCCAGCTGGCAAGGGCAGCCCCACAAACTAATTCTCATATCTAGCACTTAAAGATGTTACACTCAATGACTCTTCACTAAAAAGATATACTGGTGACAGGCATCCTGATGATGGCACTCTCAAAAGTTGCATATTAGAAAACTCTCCTAAGTATAGTTTTATGATTTATAATAAGTGATAATTTACATTCTTTACTAACTTGTAAAATTAGGAACCAGCAGCTGAGATTAACATGAAATCTATCTACTTACAAAATTAACTTTGCTCACCATCAAAATTACTTCCTACATTACAATAGTTTACACAAACCTCAGCCAACATTTGTGGATACAATTTTACCTTCACCTGACTCTTAAAGTGCAATATAATTAACAATAATATCAGTATTCTCTGTATGTCACAAACTTGTAGTTAACTTCCTTTTATATGAAAAGGCTGGGATTGTTGGTGGTGTTATTGTGTTAAAGTTCATCATAGAATCTTCAAAATAGTAAAAGAATATTGAGTAGGGTAAACATAATCCAAAGTTATTTTCAGAAGTTATTGTTTTTTGTTTGTTTGTTTTTGGATTTCTTGTTTGTTTGTTTTACTTTCTAGTGCTAAGAAATGAACCCAGGGCCTTGAACATACTGGGCCAGTGCTCCGTCTCAGAGATCCACCCCAAAATACTTTCAGATATTTACAAATCCTTAAGGAGTATTTTTCTTTTGTGTATCATCACTCATTTTAGAATTGCAACCAGAAATACCTAAGCAAGATTTGGAATCCCTTGAAGGCCCACCTCACATGTGATCTGATTACCACCCACCTATATTTCATTAGTAAAGATGAATGAAATGGATACTGCCGAACTAAAAGTTATTCAAGGTACTTTTCATTTGTACAAAACTAAAATCTTATATTACCATATTTATGCTTAATTAAAATAGATGGAATGTCTCATACTAATATATTAAAGTACATATAAGTTAAATACACTGAAAACTCAAAACCTGAATATTTGAATTATTTTTTGCAGCACTGATTGACAGAATGCTACAAAACAAAAATTTCACATCATTAAATTTTTCTTCATGAATCAGATGAAAAATATTATGATATTACTTCCAGCATTCATAATATATATATATATATATATATATATATATATATATATATATATATATGCACCAAATGAACCAAATCAACCTGTGTTTGGAATGTAAGAAACCTCTCTCCCTCTCATTTTTTTCTTGCATTCTTCCATGGCTCCTTGATGCCTCCATTTGATGACTAAAATTGTGCAAAAGAAGGGTAAAAACTTTACCAAAAATCTGTTGTCCTTTTCAGAGGAACTTCACAAAACACAGACTATGTCATTCCATATCACAAAACAAGCACACTATAAATTAGTCCTGTGATGTTTCTGACCTTTTTTTACCCCATCTTTAAACTGGTATCTAATTTCCCCTTCAAGAATCTAGGATTCTTATTCTTGCTTTCCTGATTCACTTTAAAGTCTGAGGGAAGATAATAACAACAGCAATAATAATACCTCTGTGCTGTGGTTATTTAATTTAATTTAATTATTATTGGCCTATTACAGAAATCCTAAGTGTATGGGGGATTTACACTCATTAGTCTCCAACGTCGTTGTTTTAATCAGCCTCTCAGCTGATTTGGAGGCAAATAATAGTTAACTGTGGCATTAATTGGAAGAGTAAGTATTTAGGTCTCCTAGGAAAGTCCTTAGTGTTGGTGCTGCAGTGTGAAACATCTCCCCAGTGGGCTGTGAAGGCATGGGCAGAGGAGTCTGGAAATCAGGGCATTATCATAGTCTTGCTATGAACTTGTCTGACTAGTGAGAATCAGCAATTTAGGGACGGATCAATTGAACTTCTTCCTTGAGACCCAGACACTGCCAAATCTACAGTCTTTTAAGAATGTCCAATTCAAAGTGTTAAAGGAACTGGCAGAAACTACAAGGTCACTTGCTGGCAAATTAGAGTTTATGCAAAAATCCCCAAATTCAAACCAGAATGTGTGAGAATCCATTACAGACACTTAGGGTATGATGCCTAAAGACAAGATGGAGTGCAATGTGTAGGCGACTTTTAATTTCATTTCTGAGAATTTATGTGATTGGTCACATTCTGAAGAATATGTTCACAGTGAAATGTGGGGATTGAGGTAAGTCAGGCAACCAGGTATTCTCCTTAACTATTCCTTCAGTAGTATTAATTGAATAGTCATCTAAATCTGTCTCAATGGCCCATGGTGAGAAAATTAGTGGCAATATACACAAACAAACATGTCAGGTACACTCAGCTAGCAGCGTGCACAAAACTGCAGCCGGAGTCCTGTCCTCGGGTGCACGGAGTAGTTCTGCAGAGCTTTCTGTAGGCTTAAGTAGGCACATATTTTACAGAAAAGGGTAAATGAGAATGTTGTGGGCCAGATGGAAGACACCTGTATACATAACAGGCCTTGATAAGCAGCCTGTTTGGATCTCGCTGTTCCATACTGCTTTCCTCTGTGAGCACAGGAAATGGACAGTGGTTGGAGTCACCTCCAAACCCAGGGCTTGGGCAAAACCAAAAGGGTCATTTGTTATGTTTCCTCATTGGGAAAAATGAAAGTAACTAAAGTACAGAGAGGTTGGTTTCTTCTTACTCCCCTCTTAAAAAGCTATTGATGCCCTAGTCTTTTTTTCACTAATAGAACCTCACTTAGTGATCAATGGGCCCTGAGGAGCCTAAGGCTTCCTTCCATCTTTCTTTCCTTCTTTCTTCCCTCCCATCATCCCTCCTTCCCTTCCTCCTGCCCATCCCTCCCATCCTAATTAAAAATATTTTATTATTTCTTTCTTTAAGCATGTTTGTAAACTTTGAATTTAAATCTTCATATCTCAATATGAGCCTAGCAATCTCAAGGCAGCCTGTTTGAGGGCATGGGAGGCTGAAGAGTCTGCATTACTAATTAGCTG